CAAAAGGATTTGCCTCCACATTCCCTGGACAACGATCATCATTCTCATCATGGTAAAATATCCTACAACGTTCGCACCACTGCATTGCCTGAGAGATTATTTCAAAGAAATAGCCTCCCTGTCCTGGGATTCTCACTACCAATCTTGGCTTCACACGTACCTTGGATGACACATCCAAGTCCAAATGAACCGACCCTAGTTCTGGATCTTCTTCGTCTTTCTCCATTGGGTGTACTTTCAAGATAGGGCCAAATGATTGTTCCACGGCTGCGTACATTGCTGACATTAGTTGAAACAGGACTCTCAAACAGCGAATCCAGAAGTAGCTCATTCCAACTTCCTTGAAAACCCTCATTTCTGGTAGGGTCATCCAGGGAACAAACTGGATGTTATATTCCTTTCCATCCGCAGTTTGGATCTGGTCTGTCTTCTTTTGGATCATCCACTGAATAATAGAGGGTTCCGAAGAAACAAACGATGCTAAATTATTTCCCTCACTTTAATAGCGGCCTCTTTTAACGCTCTCATCCACAATCCCAACATCATACCAAGCATTTTCATACACTCTAACCAATTTTTTCTTAAGATTATTGGATAGAGCGTTCGCCTTGTTTAGGAACACTATCGTCACAGCGTGTTTTTTCAACCATTGGATATTCAAATTGGAAAATTCCTCGTTTAGGCTGAACCGCGCTAAATCCTCCTCAATCTCAGCGACCCCAATATTGAGGCCGGTTGGTAATATCCCATCTCTAAAGCAAGCGGTGAGGAGGGTGGAGATGTGTTCCTTTTCTTCGCTGGTGTACTGTCTTTGTGGCCCTTGAATCCCCCGGGCATCAGAGCCCAGGGGATTCGACGACCCGCTCGTCCCCAAACTATCAGATAAAAAAATTAGATAGAGACAGAGAAGTGTCAGTCGATGCTTATCAACCGGAATGAATTGATTACCAAACATGAAACCAGACACAATATGGTTCAATGAATAAGGAATATACCTAATGTGGTATAAGGTTACCGCTCTCCCAATCTTGGGAGAAATCGAGATGTTCGATGCTCTTCACCAGGTCGCCAGTTCCAAAGATGTTGAAGTCAAAGCTGACGTCGCCAATTCTTGAAGGCAAGGTCTCTGGGGGGGGGGGGGTGTTAGGAAACCTGGCCGCTACCCGGTGGGTATGCCCAACTTCCAAGAAGATGTTACCGTTCTAGATGAACAGTGGCTTTACCACCCCGAACCCGCCGTAGCATAGCTATGGCGGGCAAGCGGCCCAATAGTAACCCTTAAGACATGCCTTGAACCCGTGACCTTGGGACTGCCGATGCGCAAAACGCTGTTCGCGCTACCGCAAAGACGCCTGGGTCCTAACACTGGTAGATCATCGTCCTGCTGCTAACCCTAGCGCTAATTTTGCGAACGCAGAATGAGCGCAGGAGTTGCGCTACCGTACCCCCGCCTCAACCCACTGCAGTTTTCAATTCCAGTCTCGTGGGCAGTTTTACTCTCCAGTCAAAACTCCTCTTTGGAACTGCAGTTCAGTCAGGCAGGTGGCCTTCTATTTTTTTTTTTTTTTTTTTTTTTTTTGGATCGCATGCCACAGCGTTTTTTTGTTTTGTTTTTTCCGGTCGCGCGCCGCGCCAGGCCCAACATTGGCCACATGTGATAAGCTCAAATCCGTACCGCGCGGCTTCCCGTATCCCTGAGGAAAAATCCCACGGAAGCCCCGAAGTACGGGCACGGACAGAAAGGGGTTTTTCTTTCTTTCCGCTTTTGTTTTCTTTTTGAAACGGCTTTTTCATCTTGTTTTGTTAATAACTCCCGCGCGGGCGAATAGCGGCTTCGGTATGAAAACCAAGAAACGGGGGCGGTTGGGACTTTTTGAATTTTTGCGCGCGCACGACCAAGCTCCGATCTCTTCGCGCGTCTCGCATCCCCGTTTCTTGCTTTGCATCCCCGCGCCATCTTCCCTTCTTGCTGCGCGCATTTTCCCCATGCCGGACTCTTCGTCTTCCCCTCCACCCAACTCGATCCTATCCCCGCGAAGTGTCCCCACCTTCCTCCTGTCCTACTCATCTACAACCTGCGCTGCCCGCACCTCGCGCTGACAACCCGCCGCCTCCCGCGCTATAAATTCGTGCAACCCTCTCCTCTCTTCCTCTTTGATCTCGGCTGCAATGCTGCGCGAGCTATGCGCGAGAGTCCGCGGCGCCGAACAGGCTCGACGAGCCCAAGGACGGGCGGAGTGACGACGTGGGGTGGACCCGCGGAAGTCTCGGGGCGAAGCAGTCTTAGGGACTGAGCAGTGGTGGGGATTGGACGCCTGCCGCGGCAGGGCCTTGTGGCTATGGTGGTCGGCGGTCTTGGGTGGTTTGAAGGCTGCGCCTGGGGGCAGCAGTTAATTGAATTTTTTGTGTACAAGAAGGACTCGCTTTTATCTCCATTGCTGCTTTGTCTATGCATGTCGTGTGTGTGAAGCCCCGATTGATGGGCGCTGGTTGTGCGCACGAGTGAAGTCGAAGGTCCATGGATGATTAGATGTCCTGTCAAGGATTGTTGATTGCATGCATGTGTGTGTGTATGTACTCGTCCGGGCGGGGATGGGGAAACTGACTTGGGGAACCGTCTGCTTCGGAGTATGAGTGTGTTAGCCCCATTGTTCCCCTCCCCTCCGCGGCCCTTCCTGCGTGCACCCTCAGTCTCGATGTAACTTACTCTCCCTCTCCCTCTCGCCTTTTTCGTTTGCGAACTGGTAATCATTGCTTGGATCGTCTCGTCCCCGCACCGGTGACGTCAACCGTCTGCGTCCACGCACGCGGTCGACGCCCCCGCGAGGGGAAGAGAGCTTAGATTCCGCCATGTTCCTCCGACGTACTAACTTTGAGAGAGAAGGTTGCATCGAGTGTTGTATGCAGTCGATGTTGGTTCGGATGACCGGGAGCGCGGGATCTTGCCCGTGTTCATCGCCTACCTCCGATCGCCTCATCTCGCTACCGACCTTCCCCATCACAGATGACGACAGCGTCTACTGCGATGTGGACGTACGGCGCGCGCTGAGACGAATGGAGCAAGTCTGTTGGCAGGACCCGCCTCGGGCTTGTGATATAAGGGGGAAGGGGTTTGTTTTGATTGATCGTTTTGATTCCCCGACTCTAATCTTGCCTTACACGGGTTTAACTGTGTTGCCCTGGTCGGCCGCTCTCGCCGCGTGGCGTCCGCGGTCTGATTGTCGCTAGTGTTGCCAGGGGGATTCGTGTTCTTGGCGACGCTTGGTCCTAGGTTACGAGGAAGCGACACGTTTCCCCGAGCTCTCCCGTAATGTAGGGGCGCTGCTCGCACAATTTCGAATTCGGATGCAAGCGAGTTCTCCCGCCGCTTCACCCTCTCGGGAACTTTCGCGCGGACTTTGCGAGTCCGACGCCGAGGTGTGAAGGCCTCAAACCAACCACCTCTACAACAACAACCTGACGGGCCGGTCACTTCGTGAGGCCGATTATAAGGCCTGAACGCTTCGAACCCCCTACCTATCCCCCTAACCCACGACGACCAACGTTTCTGTTTTCCGCCGCCATGGCCCTTTCCCCTTGATGCCTTTTCCCGTCCTGATACACAGCGGCAGTTTGTTTTTGCGGAAACCTTCCTGATTTTATCGTTCGGAATGATCCGACCTCCACGAGACTTCGCAACGACAGTTCGACCCCGGGGAAAACCTCTGGCACGAAACGAGGGCCTCCCGTTCCGTCCGGGAGACTCAACCCTTACGGCCAAAAATCCTCGGCCACGCCCCTCCTAGAACTCTGATCGACGACCCCGTATGGAAATCCGCGAGGGGGCGTGAGGTTGGTATCAGAGCTCATTCGTTTCGGCTCCGAGGTTTTCCTAGGATGATTACCCTGTTTTAAAGTTTTTCTTTTTGATCTTTTTATTAGATTTTTCGCTTTTTGAGCAGGCCGGCTCCCCGTCGACGGAGGCCCGCGAAAAGCAATCCGAACCGAGCGAGAGGCCGGGCTCGGGGTCCGCCTCCCGCGATGGTTGAACCGGGTATTGGGGGTGGAAACGATGGCGACAACCACGCGGGGATGGCCGATCATCCCCTGTATTTTGTACCTCCTCCCTCCGAAGTTCCCATTTTTTCCGAAGATGACACCGACCCTCGCACCTGGCTAGCTGCCTTGAAAGCCCAGGGCTGGTCGGATCAGTTGCTCCGAGAACGAATTCCCGGAAGGTTAGCCGGAACCGCTTTTGAGTGGTATGGACATAACCCCTTCACTAATTGGGCAGCCTTCCAAAGGAAATTTCTCGATAGATTTGATCACATCGCACCAGGTCAATGCCTCCGTTTAATAAAGGAATACACGCAGCACCCTCGGGAGACCTTGGCTAGATATGCTGAACGTTTTACGTACTTAGCCGAACGCTCCGGGGTGGACGAGAAAATGGTACGGACTGATTTCGTTAGAGGATTGTCAGATTCTCGCCTGCGGAAAAAGATCCGCAAGAAATGCAACCCTACAGAACATACCCTGACGGAGCTAATTCAGTACGCCATTAAGTATGGAAAGGAAAATTACGATGTGGGCCTGGACTCAGAATCCGACGAAGACGACCCTTCGGGTGTTCGACGCAATAGCTACTCCGCTACGGCACGAATGTTCGAAGATCGCTTCGGGTTGGGTCCGACAAAAAAAGGCTCGGATCGGAAAGCTTCGTCCTCTGCTCCGACCTCTTGTCGCTCCGGGCAAGCTCAAGGAGGCCGGGGCGAGGAAGAAGCTTCCATGAAAGTGGTCGCGGCCCAACTAGTTATGGTAGTGGCCCCGTTGATGGAGTTTGTTCAAAGCCTGCAGCGACAACGCATAGCCGTGGCACAACGACAACAGGCGGTTATGGCTGTCGGGGCCCCTATGACCAGACCGGACGTGGTCGGGGCTGTCCCGCCCCTGCGCTGTTATAACTATAATCATCTAGGCCATCTTGCGAAAGATTGTCCGAAACCTCGAATTCAGAGTGGGCCCGCGGGGCCAACTGGACCTTCCCAAATCCCGCTGGTTGCTCCCACCGCTGCATAACAGGGGAGGGTAGCCACGGTGATGGATACTGGGGCAATGGAGATGGTGACCCCTGCGGCCACCGAGATAGGGCTCGATGAATACATGGCTGCGGCGATGTTCGAACCCGGGACCATCAGAGTGATACGTCACGTCCAACGGATTACCGAGGAAAGCGACCTCGGGCCGTGGCAACCAGGGTTTGAAGACCTTGCGGCGCCTGGTCCTGAATACAAGGATGGCCATATCGACGTATTGGATGCCTTGAAGGCTCTGGATCTTCGGGTCCCCGTCCCTATTCCCTATCTGCTAACCATTTCCGAAGCGGCTAACGAAAAGTTGATCGAACGATGCCTCAAAAACGGGCGCCGATTTGAGGAAAGTCGAAAGGGCAAAAAGCCGGTCCTACGGGACCTACCCACAAACGAGGAGTCGCAGCCCTCGACCTCAAAGGTGCACGAAGCCGACCGGATAGGAATGATCCAGACCGTAGACTCTGCCTCGGAAAAACCCGAGGTATTCCTCCGAGCCTATCCTATGACCTCGAAAAGCGTTGAGTATGACTGCGAGGTCGGGGGAAATCCCTCGGCCGCCATCATAGACTCGGGATCGTCAGCGGTCGCCATTTCTTGGAGATTGACGAAACAACTGGGAAGGGAAGGACAGGTTCAGCCCCTCCGACCGGATGAACTGTATATATCCGCTACGGAAGACAGTATTCATTGTAAAGGGCGAATAACGAACGTACCTATACCGGTGGGGCGGGTGCATTGTTTGTGCGACGCAATCGTACTGGATGTACAGGCGTATGATGTTCTGCTAGGCATTCCGTGGCAGACGGCGGTCGGAGCGCGAATGCACTTTGACAGCTGTAAGGTGGTGCTCACATCGGCCCACCCCAAACCACAAACGATACCAATGAGACTGGCGGTGCGCATGCGCACCCAACCGGCGCCTCAAATCACCACGAAAGCCCGTCAAATCAACATAATTCGACGTCTGTCGCTAAACGAAAATGAAGCCTCGTCAAAAACTGACGGGACTGATGTTCTTGACCGATACCCGATCCGAGTTCAGGATCGGTGGCGCCATTCTTGGCGGCGAGAACCCCTGGAAATAGTCCGGAGCGAGTCTAATTGGTCGCACGCGTTCTCCTCCGTGGTGCAGGGGGAGCCCCTTCTGAGGGTGTCCCGAATAGCTGACCTTTCGGAACCCCCTGCGTCCTTATATCTCAGGACGGACCCCCTACCTGAAAGATTTACCGAGCTAAGGGGGTTGTGTGATTTGTCTTTTGGACCTCCACGGCCCCTACTCACGAATGAAAAAGTCGCGATACTCTTTAAAGAGGGGGTATCGTTTCAACCCCGAACCAGGGAATATCGGTGGGGACCGAGGGAACTGACGCAGGCCTTTTTCGGTATCACTACCAAGGATGTGTATCCCTTGTCGTGAATCGATTACCGGAAATTAAACGCTATCACTACCAAGGATGTGTATCCCTTGTCGCGAATCGACGATTTGCTAGATGCTATCGGGGCCCCTAGAGTCTTTTCCAAGTTCGATATCCGACACGGTTTTCACCACGTCGCAGTCTGACCGGAGGACCGACCCAAAATCGCTTTTGTCCTATTTGAGGGCACGTGGCAATGGGTCCGGTGTCCCATGGGAATTTGTTACGCCCCTGCAACGTTTCAGCAGGCCATGAATATGGCCTTCGTTGAGTTCGTTAACAAAACCCGACTAACGCAGCCCCTTATCAATTTCTGCGTGATTGTGTACATGGATTATATTTTGGTCTTTTCAAAAAAGCACGAGTACCACGTGGAACACATTGAGTGGGTTTTGCATGCACTAAAGGATGCGGGGTTCAAAGTGGCATTGGAGAAAAGCGAGTTCTTCTTGTCAGATATCTCATTCTTGGGGTACATCGTCACGGTCGATGGACTAAAACCGGATCCGAGGAAAGTCGCAGCAAATCAAGACGCCCCGGCGCCGGTTACACTCACCCAGGTTCGGGCTTTTCTAGGGATGGCATCCTATTACCGACGCTTCATCAAGGCGTTCGCCGGTATAGCGAAGCCCCTCACGAACCTGCTGAAGAAAGAGGAACAACTGATATGGATGTCGGAATGCGAAGCGGCGTTTCCGGCATTGAAGGAGGCTCTAACATTTGCTCCTGTGTTGGCGCGTCCCGACCCGACAAGACCGTTCGCACTGCACACAGACTGGCAGCCTCAGGCGATATCGGCGGTGCTGACTCAGCACGCGGCGGACGAAAGGGAACATGTCATTGAGAATGCGTCTAAGACGCTGAGCCGGACGCAGGCTAATTACGAAGCGTGCAAAGGCGAATGCTTGGCGGTGGTGTGGAGGATCCAGCATTTCCGACCGTATCTTTACGGCCATAAATCCTTGCAGGTAATAGATCATCACCCGCTGCTGTCCCTACGCAACAACACGCACTACACGGGGACGCTGGGTGGGTGGGCGGTGCGTCTGCAAGACTATGACTTCGACATCCGCCACTGTGCCACGCGGCAGCTTGGTAACGCCGATGGATTGACGCACCTCCTGCCGCCCAACAAGTGTCCCACCAACGAGCGACTCATTCCGTGGAGGCCAGAAGTCGCGACGACGAAACCGCACTACGGGGAGCTACACGTGCTGCACAAGAACGACGCCTGAGTCCGGAATGGAGGTTTTGCCGGAGATGGCGGACGCTATCTCTCTGCCCTCATCCAATTCCCTCGCTCTCCCGTTTAGTCCCTACTCGTCCCCTGAAACACATCTAAGTCCCTGTTTCTTTTGTACCTTGCCTATGGTCCCTGACCAAGAAGGGTCACATCCGGGAGGGCCCTGTTTTTTTTTATGGGTACAGTGTAGTCAGTGTCATACGGTCAAATCTCACGGACAGTGCGTTAGGTACCAAAGTGAAAAGACATGGGTCTGTCCCAACTGTAGAACGGACCAAATCCCTACTGAGAAGCGGTATCTGGACGCCAGAAAAGTCGATGGATTTGCGCCAAGTGCCCTCCAGGCAGAAGTCTGGACGGACCTTCTGTTGCTATAGAGGATGTCAGGCGACTCGCTGTCAGCACTTACCAAAGCCGAGCGGCGGAGAGCCACGGAGCGGGCGCAGAACTATCGCTGGCAGGGACCGACGTTACAAAAACGAGAGGTCGATGATGACGGAGGGTCTAGCTGGTTGACGGTTCCACACCCTCTCGCAAGGTTCGATTGGACACGAGCCGCTCATGAAGAGGATGCGGTCACTTTCGCGGTCAAGTACACGGAAAAAGCCATTGAAAAGAATTGCCCGGCCTGCGCGGCGGATAAGGCGCCGCTACAAATGCCTTGGACGATGGTGCCCACTCGTGTAGAGCGCCCCTTTCAGAGGGTTAGCATCGACACGACGGATATCAACGTTTCGAGAGGTCCCGTCGATCAGGGAGAGCTCAATGTTCTATTAGTGGCCGTCGATCATTTTTCGAAATGGATCGAGGCGTACCCTATGACCAGCCCGAATTCGCAGGAGGTAGCCTGGTACGTAAATCGATTTTTGTGGATGCATCTAGACGTAGAAGAGGTACACATGGACAATGGGTCGGAATTTCAAGGCAAAGTAGAACGTCACCTAGTCAGGGCAGACGTTAAGATTATCTACTCGTCGGGGCACTGGCCCCAAGCCAACGGCCTGGTAAAGAATCCCAGCCGACAGATTAAGACCGCCCTTAGACGGAATATCACTGCGGGAGACACCCGGCCCTGGCCTGTCACTGTCGACCACATCTTGGCCGTTTATCGGGTTACCCCACACGGTAGTACTGGGGTGTCCCCCTTTCAACTGAGAACCAATAGTGTCCCTCGGGTGCAGTTGTCCCCCTTGGTAGGTACGGAAGTTAGAGCAACACGGGCCCAGCACAGAGATAAGGCCCGCCACTATATGGACTTAATGGCTAGGGCCTATCCCCCGTTAGCGTGCTGGCGACAGCGGGCCGTAGATCCGACGCATCAACGACAGATCCGCAACTACAGAAATCGACATGCGTCCGCGGGACCACTGCCTCGCTATAAAATAGGGGACTTGGTGCAGGTACGGATATCCGCGCGCTCCTCCAAAATCCACCCACGCTACACAGGCATTTACGAGGTGACGGAAGTTGGTGCACGAGGCCAGCACTCCGTGAAGCTGGTTCCCAGGCACAACTCGCAGGGCCGCTCGCTGACAAGGCACGCTGCTGCCCTCCGGCCTTTTCGGCCATCGCTAGATCTCGTGCGGCCACCTGTCCTGCCCGAATCATCTTCTTCGTCCCTCTCTCGTGCTCCTTCGTCCTTGCCTCCTTCTTCCCCTTCTCTCCAATCAGCGTCGTCGGCATCCGCGGAAGACCTTGCCTCGCAGGATGAACCATCGCCAACAAGAGCATGAACCGCTCGAGCACTTCTAGCCGCCAATCTCGGATGCTCTTCTCCGGAACCGGTTCAACGACGATCGGCAGCTGCGCTTCGACATTCAGCAAGTGAACGTGTCAGCTTCTAGAGTTGTTGACCTGGCAGTGTACTCGCTCCTCGCGCAGCGGGTAACGTATGTCGGCGTCTACGTGGACATATCGCCCGTGCCTGGTCAGGAATCCACGCGAGTGTTCATCGAGTTCTGAGGCATCCAGGTGGCTACGAACTTTGTGTAGCTTTGCTACTTTCACCGGGGATTTAACCGTCTTGTGCGGGCAAGATCGGGAGCCGGCGTACAGGCTTTTGCGCGATTACGCCCTCTAGGTGGCGAGATCGGTGGCGCGAGTGCAGGCGAGGGGCACTCGTCGCTTCACCGCATACGAAGGACTTCTGCGGCGGACTCCGGAGGGAGCACTTGCATTGGTGTCGCAGCTTCCTTCGCTCCTTCCACCCGCCGAGCCCCTCAACATCCAAGCTGTCCCTCCCCCTTCTCTTTAAATGCGTCCCTTCTTCTCTTACACTACCCTCACTTACCAACTGACACAGCTCCCCTATCCTATGCGCAACTTCCCTGAGTACCTGGTGGAGTTGACGGACGTGGAGCAGTTGCCGCTCGTTGACGAGGACGCGTGGGAGCTGCATTGGGCGCTTTATTCGTCGGTGGTGCTGGGCATGTTTACATTTTTCGTGGAGCACGACGTTCATAACGTCGGCGAGCTCCTCTACGTATACTACGTGATCGCCAAGCCGAAGCCGGAGCGGAAGGAGGGAACAGTGGCGCTTTACCCTTTTGGGAGGATCAGAACGAATCGCCCGGGGCTCTTACAGCTCATTCACATCGACTTGCTGTCCATCGCGCAGGTAATCGCTGCGGAAGAAGAAGACTTGCAGCTCAGACTGTCGACCGCCTCAGCCCCGTGCAGATCGTATAACACGGCGGTGATACTTGACTACCTGGCGCGTGAGGGGGAGTCCGTGGTGGACTTCGGGCACGAAGATAAGCCGCTGCGGCCTCCAACATCGTATCCAAAGCCGGCGGCCCTGAAGGCACCAAGAAAGAGAATCGTCCCAAAGCGGCGACGAAGTCCATCGCCGGAAGCTCAGGCCAGTCAAGTGGGGCGTGTCGAGGAGGTCGTCCAGCCTAAGCCGGTGCGCGAAGTCGATCCGGTTCGCAAGAGAAGAGCCACACTCATCATCGGGCCCCAACTGGGGGAGGATTGCCTTGCTGAAGAACCGCGGAGATCTAAGGCCATCGGGAGTCGACACCTCAGCGGCCCCGCCTCCCCGATCTCAATAGCCATGCAGCCGGGCCATCAGGCGCAAGGGGGGGATTGGGACGAGCTCCATATCCCGCATCCATACCCCCCCTCCTTGCAAGACCGTTCCGATTTCGCCAGCCCACCCGGGATACCCCGGTCATTGACATTAGCAGTTCCCCCGAGCCAGACGGTCCATCAAACCGACGTGGATCACATGGTTGAACTGGGCACCATCCGGCTTGAGGCCATCGAGGGGGCGCCGCGTCCTGATCCGGCATGGGAGTCGTTCTTGCAGCCTCCATTCGACGGATGTATAGCGGCGAGGTTGGTGGGCACGCTGATCTATAAGACCGGCGGGCGGCCCAACATTATGTACCATATCCTGGTCTTCGCGGCAGTTAAGCGGGAGCGGAGGCCATACACGGAGACCCATCTGGTGCTGACGGGTCTGAGAAATCGGCCGCTGCGACGACGAATCATTCGGGCGATCGCCGATCTCGCGCCCTGGGTCCTCTCACATGTGC